CACACACACACACACACACACACACACACACACACACACACACACACGCACACATGTTTACCATCTGTCCTGGTCCACCTGGGACAGTCCCCATTTATACCTGTTCTGGCCTAACTTGTTTGAGACAGGGTCTTGGTATGTAGCCCTGGATGTCCAGGAATTAGATATGTAGACAAGGCTGCTCTCCAGCCTATGGCGATCCACCAGCCTCAGTCTCCCAAAAATGCCGGAATTAAAGGATTGTGCCACCAAGCCCAGCCATGGTGCCACTAGTAATGGTGTTTTCTTGGAGCTTCAGAAATACCCAGGACAATGAATTGTTACAGCATTCTAATTTGTAGCAGTTTTTTGTTTTTTTTTTTTCTTTAATATTTTATAGCATTTTGAACCGAGAGCAGGTGTCTTACTTTTCTGTTTCTGTGAGGCATCATGACTAAGATGACTAACAGAAGAGCGTATTGGTGGCTTAGTTTCACTCTCGAAACTCTGAAGACCGCCCCACACATCCACACTTCCTAATCCATTCCAAACAGCTCTACTGTCCTTGGACCAAGCATCCCAATATAGGAACCAGTGGGGTCATTTTCATTCCAACCACCATAGGCAACAGGTGAGGCCCTGTCATGTAGGAACTGCTCCAAGAACCTTGAACCAGGATGAAATGTCAAGGTACCATTGCCTGCCACAGTGCCTAGTATCCTTTTCCCTCCCCCACCCAAGCTAGACTGTCTGGAAGTCATTGCTGTATGATCTTACATTGTGGGTGGGAGGCATGGGTTGGTAGTCCAAAGGTTCAAAGGTTTGGTCATCAGCATGAACTTGGAACCCAGCTCTGAAGTGACTTCACTGAGCCAGCTCCTATCAGCTCAGTGGACTGTGAGAATCAGAGTACCTACCTAACAAGTAGGAAGGGCTGTTAAGACTCCGGTGGCTGGCTCCTTAAGAGGGCTCCACAGAGCAGGCAGGAGGGCACTGGGTTATCCCATAGGATCTAGCTGCACCTCCAGGATTCAAGCCCTGCTTTTCTCCGGAGTAGCTGCTGAACACATTCGTCTGTGGGGGTGCCACACGTGGAGCACTGCCTGACCGCTGTGCTGCTGGCTTGTTCACTGCAGGACCTGACTGGGGCCATGAGCCTGTTGGAGCTGCAGCAGGAGCTGGGTCTGCTCACTACTGACAACCAGAGGGAGGTTTTCCTCTTGGCAGCTAGCATTGCCCCTGCAGGATCTGGCTTCGAGGAACCCGGCACTGTGCGAATCTGGAAACTGCTCTTAGAGCTTCTCTCCTAAACTGGACACACCGGCTTGCTGCCTAGCTTTGGAGGGCACAGTTCTGCTTCCTCCTGCATCTTCTTTGCCAGCCTAGGCCTTGGCAGAAGCATCATAGCAACACTTCCTCTCTCCCCTCCAGAGCAAGGCCAAACCATGCAGAAGCCTTCCTACTGAGGTGGACATGGGTGAGGTAGGGAGGTGTGAAGGCAGACCATGACTGCCTCAGGCCCCCAAGGGACTCCAGCTTCCTTTCCTTCCTGCACAGTATGCTGCTCAGTGGATGCAGTGTCCCTCTCTGAGCTCCCACTGGTTGGAGAGCCAGTGTGGATATCACAGGTGCTCCTGAACCTCAGGTCTCCCATTTTACTGTTCATACATTTTTATGTGGGAAGGGTCTGGGTAGAAGGCAATGAGTCTGGGCTCCCAGGCCTTCATCTTACAGCCCCTGCTCCCTCTGTGGCCTTGGGTTTCTGCCTTTCTGGCCCCAGAGCTATCATTTTAAAGGGAGGTGGTTTCCCTGTTTTTTTCTAAATGCCAGCCCTGTCAATGCCAAATGAAGATCAACCTCTAGACTTTAGCAGGGAATTTCCTGAACACCTCCCAGCTGTCAAGGCCTGGCCTGCCAGCCTTTCTTAACCACAAGTGCAGTTCACTGAACAGGGTGAAGGCTAGTTTTCCCCTGGAGACAACCTCTGCTTTTGTACTAACTGTGCCAATGCCCATGTTTACAGAAGTCTAGAGAAGGGAGGAGGAGTCCTGGAACAAGACTGGAGCTGGGGTAGGGGTTAGCCTCAGAATGGCATTTTATTTATTTATTTGTGTATTTATCAAAGGACTAGGCCAAAGTTCTAGGTGCTGTAATCCAAACCCTAGGAGGCTGTCTAGAAAATATGGAGCTTTGAGAACTATCTGGAATCATGATTGACATAAGGTAACCTACGGGTGCCAATGGAGACAGAACTGTAGCTTTCCCTTCCTCCGACCTGGCCTGGAGCCCACACCTGGAGACAAGTACTTCAGAAAGGCCTAGTACTTAGATTCTCCATATGGCCCAGGACACAGGACAGGACTACTGGAAGAGCCATCAGAGTGGCCTTGGGCACATCACCAAGCCTTCTGGGACCATTTATTCACCAGCCAAAGCAGAGGCTGAAATTGTGTGCTCTGCAGTGAACATTCCATGACTGGTGATCAACCAGGGCAAAGCCGGTCTTCGTGTAGACAGACACTGGTGCAGGCGAAGGAGCCTTTGGTCTGCCAGGGGCTACTGAAGGAGAACAGTTACCAATGGACTGTTTTGTTTTTAAGGCTGTATCCCATGTTTTTTTTTTTTTTGTTTTTTTTTTTTTTTTTTTCTGACAGGGTGTCACTCTAACCCAGGCTGGCCTTGAATTAATGGTAGTCATCCTTCCTCCTTCCACCTCCCATGCGAGGGGATTGTGGGGCCATCATGCCTGGCTTTCAGTTTGCTTTTTGAGAATAGACTGTGTGCCATGTTGCCAATTGCCCAACATGCAACCTGTGAAGTAGAAAGCTTCCAAGTTGAAGTGAGCACAATCATCAGAAGAGGGCTCTACTTACTGTGCCCTTGGACTGCAGCCCATGAAAATGGAATTGATTAGAAGTGATTTTTCTGCTTTTGTATGAAATGTTTAAGGAATGACTTGGATTTCAGAGTGAAGTTTTATTGGCAACTTTTCATTTGTCAGTGGGAAGGTGAGAAACCGTACTCTCCAGTGCTTAAAGCTTACTTTGGAACCAGACTTGTTGAGACAGACTCTTTTTCCTAATTTAAAATCCTCTAACAAGTATCATCTTGTACAATTGTCATATTTCCGAAGGTGAAGGGGGTGAATTTAAAATAAAAAAATTTCGCTGTGTCTAGTAAACTAACTTTATCTGAAGCCAGGCCCGGGTGGTCTGCTATCCTAGTTACTTCGGAGACAGTTGAGGTCTGCCTGGTTTACAGAGTGGACAACTGGGTGAAACCTTGACTCAAAAGTCAAAAGCCAGACAGGCCCATGAGATGGCTCAGCAGGTAAAGCAGTTGCTATGAACGCCTGGTGATGACCGCAGTTTGACCCCCAAGGTCCATGTAAAAGTGGATGGAGCGACCGGGCTCCTCGGAAGCAGGCTGGGGTGTAGCGGCGGCACAGTGTTTGCCCAGTGTGTAGGTTCAATCCCAGGACTAGGAAAACATCAAATAACCACTCTTGGGCATTCTGTACTTGTGCTAGTCTGGGAGGATCGGCCAAGCCAGCTGCAGGACTGCTTGGCACCCACCTCCTGCCACAGGCTCGTCTGAGCAGACACTTTTCCTCCCAGCAGTAGCGAAAAGGAGTCTCCAACTTCCCTGTGCTGCTATACCTGGAAGTCTATTATCAAGACACTACCGTGGATTTCCTCAAGGTGCGGAGCTGCTCTTTCTGTCCGCCCCACAAACCCAGAGGCACAGGGCCACCAAGGACAACCATGTAAACTGGAGTGTCACCAGCTTTCTGAGGTACACAATAACTGCCAAAATGCTACGCTCAGTGAATCCTCATCTTGAAGAGTGTGCTCGGGCAGCTCTGGAAAGTGACAGTTCCCAGACAGCAAGTCCCAGTCCCTTACCCTCCGACTTTTGGGATGGACAGTAACAAGCCTTTTAACCCCTGGAAGGGGATTTAGTTGTTGGGGCCAGACTGAAGGACTGGAAACTAGCGCAGAAGTCTTCTAACAGCTGGGCATAGTGAACATGCCTTAATCCAAGCTCTCAGGATGGTGGATCCCTGAATTGAGGCCAGCCTGGCCTACATGGACAATCTCAAAAAAAAAAAAAAAAAAAAGTCTTTGGCCTCCATGCTTAGGCCTAGGAGCCACACACATAGGGCCTTCTAGAAGCATGTCTCAAGCGTATGCCTTGGGCAAGGCATTAGAGTCCCAGGCATCGGGGAATATTAAAGGCATCATGGGTGCAGCTCAGTCAAGAATGCTTGTGCAGTAGTTTCATTTCCAGCTACTGCAAAACCATACAGCTCTGGCCATGACAGGTGGAAGGACACAGGAAGTTTACATGCCCTCAGAGCAAGGAAGATAGCAGAGGTGGTTGCTGGAAGTTGTTACCCAAACAAGTTAAGGAGACCTTGTAGTCAGCGACACAAATTTGAGTTTCGTAAAAGATACACAGCAAATGACAGTGGCTCTTGTACTAGATCTAAGGACTCTTCTAGGTACCTAATGAAACTCCAGGGCCCCCTAAGCCACCTAATACTGTGGAAGAGACTTGATGTCATACCCCACAAAGGCACCCACTTTGGACACCTTTGACCTCTTTCCTTCCCTGTAACAGATAAAAGTGTATCTCACCGAGTGTCACAGGCAATATGTAAAGACATGCGTTTCAAGAGTGCTGAAGACAAGGTGGACTATAGGTTCTCCCAAGAGCAGCCCCTACAGCTGAACGGGTTTTTACAGGATTCACAGTTGAGGGTAGTTAGGCGGCCTTCCGATGCCCAACTCACCCCTTCCCAAGGCCCTGCTGCAATACAGCCAGCACATGCTCAGGCCTGGCCCCAGAGGACGGCCACATCTTGGAAAGCCCACTGGGTGGCACATGGTGGAGCACTACCCGGCAGCCTGCCAGTCCCGGAAGGCAGGCTCAGGTCCCTGAGGTTTGATTCAAGCCATGGCTGACAAAAGCAATCAAAAGAGCAAATGACTCCTTACCCTTCTACAGGCAGCCGGGGCTTCCTGGCAAGTTTCTGGAGGAAGCCAAGGCTGGGAGCACTCAAGAGGAAGAAGGCAGTGCCTGTAAAAGCCCACGGCTGCAGTCCTTGCTACAGAGCGCTAAGATTAGCTTTCCCTAGGACAGCTCAGAGCTTAATCGGGCACAGTGAACACAAAGCCATCACACAAGTAGAGATGCATACCTTTAACACCAACCAGGGCTACACAAAGAAGCCCTGTCTCAAAACAAAAAACAAACTATGTTACACAGGTAAAATACTCTTTTATCACATACAGATTGCATTTGAATAAAACATACCCTCTGAACACAGGACACGAAGACCTGTCTGTGAGCCCCAACAGAACATAAACCATGGACTTGAAAGAGTTCCTTCCCCTGTAGGCATTGAGGCCCACGCTTTAATCCCAGGGCTTGGGAGGCAGAGGCAGGCGGATCCCTGTGAGCGGAGGCCAGCCTGGTCTACAGAACAGCCAGGGCTATTAGAGACCATCTCTCAAAAACGAAAAACAAAACCAAAAAAACAATAAAACAGGTTCCTTCTCTAGAAGGAGAGCGAGAGTGAGTGTGTAAAATCTGATTCCATAGGACTTTGCCAGCACCACCTGAAACTATACATTCCCTGCCTTAAAGCCTGGCTTGGTTTCCTTGGTCCAGAAGGCCTAAGTCTGAGGATATACACCACTCAGTCTATCTCCATCTTCTTATTCTGCAAAGACTCGCTGAAGGCTTGCCATTCTGTTGGATAAAAACGTTTGTAGACGTTGATCTTATTCCGAATTTGCTTTGGGGTATCTTGGTAGTAGTTCTTTTCATCCCGGGCCATGGCCTGTAAAAGTAGGACAGTGTGTGGAGTATCGAACAGGCACAAGTTCAAGTCCAAATCTGAGCTTTGTTTGCCTGAATTGAGCATGCTGCTTCCTATCCCTGAGGTCCAGCTTTCTCACCTCAAAAGCCATCACAGAGTTCAGTGGTTAGAAGCGCTGGCTGCTCTTAGAGAGGACCCAGCGTCTATAACTCCAATCCTAAGAGACCACAGGCACCAGACACTCATGTGGTACATGCAGGCAAAACACTCACACATAAAAAAGTGAGCTCCAGGACAGCCAGGGCTACATAGAGAAACCATGTCTCAAACAAAACAACAAACAGCCAAGGACATGGAGCTCTTCTGCACTAAAGGGCTGAGGAAAAGAGCACCCTCCTTAGGGAAGGGACCAAGCAAGCCTGGGAGCAAGCAGTGGGTCTTAAAGGAGCTGGGGCCAGCCAGGGAGTTCATGCCTCTTCAAAATCATTATTTCCATTCAAGTGCAGAGGTCCAGCATAGCCAGACCTATCCCTTACTTCCTTATTTAGCTTTCTTTTGAGACAGGGCCTCTTTAATAGCCCTGGCTGTCCTGGAATCACTATATAGACCAGGCTGACCAAACTCAGATCTCTATCTGCCTGACTTTTGAGTGCTGGCCACCATGCTGGGCAACCACATCTTGTTAACATTAAAAAATCAATCAGGCTGGAGAGATGGCTCAGTGGTTAAGAGCACTGCCTGTTCTTCCAAAGGACCCGGGTTCAATTCCCAGCAACCACATGGCAGCTCACAACTGTTTGTAACTGTAGTTCTGACACCTTCATACCAATGCACGAAGAATAAAATTAAATAATTTTAAAAAAGAGAAAAGATTAAAATAAATAAACAAATAGGAAAACCAAACAAAGAACCAGGAAGTGGCTCAGCAAGTAAAGCTGTGTCTCCGTAAGGGTTTCTACAGCTGTGACAATCACCATGACCACAAGCAGCTCCAGGAGGAAGGAGTTTACTTTAACTTCCACATCCCAAGTCCCAGTTCCTGGAGGCAGAAGCTATCAAAGGACATAGAGGGGTGCTCCTCATGGCTTGCTCAGCCTGCTTTCTAGCCCAGAGATGGCTCCACCCACAGTGGGCTGCACCCTCACCCTTCAATCACTCAGTAACAAAATGCCCTGTAGGCTTGCCGACAGCCTAATCACATGGAGAGATTTTTCTCAATTGAGGCCTCCTCTCCAGTGACTCCAGTTTGTGTCAAAATTGATACAAAGCTAGCCAGCACAGTAGGTAAACATTGTGCTCTGAGTTCATTCCCCAGAATCTACAGGAAAATCCAAATGTGCATCTGTAAATCCCAGCACTCCTACAGTATGACGGGAGGCAGAGGGAGAAGAATCTACAAGGGCAGCTAGACTGGGTTATGCAGCACAGCAGCAAAAATGGGAAACCCCATCTCAAGAAGTGGACATCAAGAAACAACCCCTGAAAACTATCTTCTGAAACTCCCCCCAACACACACATAAAATTCAGAGAAAGCCCAAAGGGCTAGAGAGATGAGTTCTCATAGACACAACATCTCATAATTGCAACTCTAGTTCCAAGGACCCAACAGCTTCTTCTGACCCCACAGGTACCAGACACTCACATATTTACAAATACATACAAACAAAATGCTTACCCACATTAAAAAAAAAAAAAAAAAAAAAAAAACTTTAATCAATGGGATGCCTTCCTAGATTATTTTCTTTCTTTCTATTCAGTCAAAGATCAGGCTGGAACAGTCCAGTGTTTTCCCAACAAGCCCAAGAGGCTACTCCTGGACTATAAGCCCTTACCTTATAGTCCTCCCCATGGCTCTCCACCATGTAACGAACATAATCAATGAGGTCCCGGGACAAGGTATTTCCTTTCTTTTCTGGGAGGCTGGCTTCTGCCTCCAGGTCTGCAGTAAAAGAAGCCAGAAAATGGAATAAGGCTTTACCTTCTGCATACCCCTTTCAATCCTATGACACAGAATTGTTGTACCAGCAACACATTCCCAAATTCAAAGCTGGAATTCACTTTTTTAGGTCCTTCATTCCCAAATTCTGCCTCCTACCACCTACTCACCCATCAGTGTGCAACTCCCTGAAAAGCAATTCTCAAGTTACAGTTTAAAATGAAAACCACTAAGCTTATCAATCTTAATTAGCACCAGACTCTAGGGACAGAAAGATGAAAAGCTTGGTTTCCTTTCAGCTCTGTTACCACCAGAAAATCTCTTCCTGTTGTGTTATGCCTATCTGAAATGGAAGGTCTGAATTTTGAAACCTAGAGCTGCAGGGCTCTACCCACATACCTTACTGCTC